CGCAATAGTTGAATATTCTTTTTTTTTAGTATTTTGAAATAATAATAATATTAATTGTATCAATTTTATCAGATAATGAATGCAAAGATGTTGATTTTATACATATTACTGCATTTACATGATATTTTTTTTTTAATTAAAAATATTCAGCCAAGTGAAGGCAAGGATTGAATATTTTATATATAACTATTAATTATTTTACATAATGATCTAATTCAGGTTCCTATCCATTTTATTCTGCTAGAGAGATTGAGAAACCAGTCACAAAAGGACAGTGTTCATGATTGCCTCCCAGATGAAAAATTTAGATGTAAGACCCCACATTCCGGACATGCCGGGCTTAGTAATACAAAGAGAAGGAAGTAGCCATCGGATGCTTTCCAAAGACACAATTCTGTTGAGAAGAGCTATCAGGAAGGGCACAAGAAACAAACCAATAATAGATCCCAGCTTCTGAATTTGCGCCTGGTTCATTTTAGAGGATTTAGAAACTTGGATTTCAACAAAAGAAAAAATGGCTTAATAAGGATGATAATAACAATAACAATGACAATGACAATAACAACAACAATAAGAGTTCATGTCGTTCTGATTAGAGAACGTAAGCGGTGAGGCATAATTTCAATATTTGAGAAGATACTTTCCTTCATGAGATAGAGTATAAATATTATAAATGATAAATATGTCATTTTCTTTCAACATTCTAAAACTATTAAACAAACCTGAAATATGAAATAAAATTCGAGTAAATTGATTTCACAAAAACACAGAATTGCACTTTAAGAAAAGAGTCATCGTCATTCATTTGATTATTTTAGTTTTGGTTGGACTTGAAGACAGCCCTCAAAATTTGAAGAGTGAGTTTCTGTGATTATTTTTTGATCAAGAGATTTGGAATGGAAAATAAACAGCTTCTTCAATATATATTTATTTAAATAATTTTTTTTTTTGTAAATAAAATAATAAAGGTACATCCATTAACCATTCCCGACTTATAATAAATAATAATAAATAATGATAATATTAATATATAGTAATAAAATAATAAAATAACAAATTATAATATAAAGAAAATCAGCCTTTTCTAGTCTTGATATGAATTTTTATATCTACAGGTCGCCTAGTAGTAGCAAACACGTATTTAGGTGCAGCAGTTTTTTTATCAACTAATTCAACATCAAATGTGCTAACTAATTTAACCAGATAAGTTTTCATTTGAACCATGGCCCAAGCACGGCCAGGACACATACGTACACCATTTCCAAAAGGTAAATAACTATATTTAACTATTGGTTCTTTATTTAAGAATCTATCAGGGTCAAATTTTTCAGGATGTTTAACATATCTAGGATCATTGCTTAAAGACTTCAAGTCTGTATAAACCGTTGTATCAGCTTTAATTATAAATTCGTCAAATTTTGCATCTTCGACTCCAGCACGACCTATCATTGGTATTGTAGGGAAAATACGAATTCCTTCATAAATTACAGCTTCAATGTATTTAAGTTTTTCGTAAGATTCGAATGTAAGATTAGGATCATCAAGTGTGCCATAAACTTTTATTATTTCTTCTCGCATTTTCAAGTAAACATCGCGATGCTTGGCGATATAGTAAGTAATGAATGACAAAGTATTTGAAGTAGTATCCAATCCACCGGTATATACCTCACGTAGTATTGAACCTAATCGTTCATCTGTCAAAAGTTTACCCTTATCTAAATCTTTTTCTGTGTTTGTGTTAGGTAATAAAGTTAAAATAGTTGATTCACGAGATTGACCCAAAACAGCATTTTCCATTTCCTTTCTTTTTTCAGCAACTATTTTTTCCAATGTATTATTTATCCAATCTCTATTATCCAAAAATTTTTTATTTAAAGTTTTGAATGGAAACTTTGTTCGGATAAATGGTGGAAGTAACATCATAAAAAACATTGATTCATTGTAGAGATAAATCGATTCAGCAAATTTTACACCATTTTGCCAAATTCCTTGTATTTCGGCTTTTTTTCCTTTGATATTTAATTTATTAAATAATTCTGCTGTTGAAAACATTTTTTTTCCCATTGTAGTCATAACAACAATATCAGTTCCTAAAGCATTCATCCATTCAGGAATTTCAACTTGTATTCCTTCTTCTTCCATAATTTTCCAATATTTAAAAACTTCATCATTCATGCCGGTTGATATTTTAACTGCTTCGCGTAAAAATTGTGGCGAAGAAATTTGAGACATAAATTTTCTATTAGTGGCCCAACTTTCGATATCTCGATTGAATAGCATTCCTTTTGTGCCTAATCCAAGCTCAACAATACCTTCAGAATATGAATTACGCAGAATGAAGTTGGTAGTTTTAATTGATAAAGGTCCCCATATTTTTTCTGCTAAATCAGGTCTACTAACTACAATATTACGCTGATTTCCCGTATAAAATTCAAATATCTCTCCATACTTTTTGCGAAATCTTTCTGTTGCATCTGCAAGATCTCCTCCAAGTTGATGTATATTTCCAATTACGGGTAAAGGAAATGGTCCAGGAATTTTTGATGGTCGATTAAAATAGTCAATGTAATATTTTGCTACATATGTTACAATTGCTAGAAGAAGAATCGAGAAAAAATTATTTGTGGTAACGTTGACTAATTTAAATATTACGAGCGCAGCAGACATTTTGGAAAAAAGTTTTTAAAAAGTTAGGTGTGTATATAATAATAATAAGAAAATTGGTTTGAATTTCGTGAAATATGAATTTTACTTTGATAAATACTTTACTTATATACATATATATATCTTATCGGACCTTTGACCCATTAAAAGAATGCTATTCAAAATAATAATTGATTCGTCCCCAAAATGGATAAAAGTCCAATTATATGCAATACATATTTTATGGAATTTCCTAATATATTTATGTGTGAAATATAAGTAATTTTATAGTTGACTAATCAATTCTTTTTAAAAAAGAAGATCAATTTATTACCTTCTACCATGTGAATCATTTTTCAATGTTGTGGTATATTGCTCAACTGATCTTTTTCCTTTAGGGTAGGTTCCGTGTTGTGTCGATCGTTATAATTAAGTTCTAATAAGATACAGGAACAACTTTGAACCTTATATATCAAATTCCTCTTTGTTTTTAGAAAAAAAACGATCGACATTATATCTTTAATACACATTTGGTACGATTTTGAAGGCGTGTTTTAACATAACTAGATATTCATTGTCTGATAGGTAATTACACAAGATTCTTTAACAAATGATTGGTGCATTTGCTTTTGATAACCATTATTGAAATAATGTTTCTGTTCATTAATACTCCCACCCTGAAAATTATTTGCATCCCGCAACTTACTGCGCCACGGCGACGAATTTTGGGAAAAAATTTCCAATCAAAAATGCAATAAAATTTGTTTTGTCATGTGATATTTCCTAGTCATTCCATAAATAGTAAAATCGGCAATAAGAATAAACATTGGGTTACCTAATATGGATGTGATCATCAACTAAAAATTCAAAAACTTTTATTTTGTTTCGATTTGTTCATTTTTATATATATACCATCAGGATGTGCAGTCAGATTAACCAAAGAAAATTTTGAGAATTCAGGCTCCAAATATCTATAATCAATAAAAAGTTTCATGCTGGATCGTTTCCAGAGCAGTTTTCATGAGAGAGAAAAATCTTCAATGGTTAAATTGCTTCGACACTTCTTGTAATTGTTTTAACGTTAATAATGATCATGCAAAACAAATATACCAATCGTTTGTTTATTATCATGATAAAGAATCTTATAATAATTACCTATCACTATGCGATGTAAAAGACATGATAAATATGCTCAACGTTTATGTAAGATGCTTGCACCATATTTTACACGTATATTATGGCTAAAATTTATTCAATACTCAAAATTAATTACGAATCGTTAATCATTCGAATAAACATTATTCGAATAGAAACCCTGATTCTTTGTTGCTATTACTGACCTATCGGTATAGTTTTCGGTGTCCTGTCTAGTGATAACTGTTATAAATTTTTTAGGAACCATGCCCATTTTGCATAATAAAATTTCGAGATATATTCAAAATCAATAGTAAAATACAGATCTTTTTTTCAAATCATTTCCTCGCTTCTATTGAAAAACCACATATAATAAACAACTGTTCCATCACATTTTCATAACAGTCTTTATGTTACCTGCGCCATATCATTGTATCTAACATCCCAATCAGTGATGGTATTTACTCCAGGGGTACTGTCGCGATAGGTTTGGATAAACTCTTTCCTAGAGCTCCCCGACATGGTTTCAGGGCAAGATTAAAAATATATTCTGAAAACCTCAATTCAGGACAACTAGAAAAAAGACTTGTTCTACCTATAGTACCAATAAAATCATTTTATTGTTATTATTATTATTATTATTATTATTTATTTCCTCTGATCTAATAAAATATAAAATACATATTAATTAATTAAATACATAATAAAAATACAAATATATAAATATATGAAATTATGATAAATAAATAAGCTTATAAATTAATTATAAAACGATAAATGAATAGGTTAAATATTATTGTAATTCTTATAATTATATTTCCGCCGGTAATTCCATTAGCAATTGCATTTCAAATTTGATTACCTATCTATATCCTCTATTAAAGATAAATCATCATAGTAATAATGTCTTGATTATTATCAACAAATTATTTATAATTAATCATCGCCTTCCTTTTCATCGCCATCATTACTTTTAATTTCAACGGGTAATTCTATGTCAAATTGATTATCAATATCTTCTACATAAAGACACATATAGAGGAAAACAACATGTTATTATTATTATTATTATTATTGAATGAATAATTATTACAACTACTAGTAATAGACTATTAATTAATAAATTTACTAACCTGGGGGTTTATCATCCTCATCAACTCGTTTTTCATCACCATCATTACTTTTGATTTCAACGGGTAATTCTATGTCAAATTGATTATCAATATCTTCTACATAAAGACACATATATAGAAAAACAACATGTTATTGTTATTATTATTATTGAATGAAATAATTATTACAACTACTAACCTGGGGGTTTATCATCCTCATCAACTCGTTTTTCATCACCATCATTACTTTTGATTTCAACAGGTAATTCTATGTCAAATTGATTATCAATATCTTCTACATAAAGACACATATATAGAAAAACAACATGTTATTATTATTATTATTGAATGAAATAATTATTACACCTACTAGTAATGGACTATTAATTAATAAATTTACTAACCTGGGGGTTTATCATCCTCAACAACTCGTTTTTCATCGCCACCATTACTTTTGATTTCAACGGGTAATTCTATTGAAAATTGATCAAAAAAAAAATTTTTTTTAACTAAAATAAAAATCAATCCTTTTTTTTTTTTAATAAATAAATAATATATTTTACCTGGAGGCTCATTGTCATCAATATTATCAGGCAACTTAATTGAAAATTGATTATCAATATCCTCTAAAATAAAAAAAGTGCACATATATATAATTTATTTATGATTTAGCAAAATAAAAAAATTTATATTAAACATTGATCGATATTAGTGTTGGTTTCCAAAAT